TGAAGCAGAAGGAGAAGAAAAAGCAGCTCCAAGAGACGCGCCAACAACAGCAACAAATCCCGAAGCGTGCCCAATATAATCCTCGTGAAGATCAGCAAGGACGATGACCCAAGACCACAGTAACAAGCTTGGAGGGCGATTCCTACTCGTCCAACCGGGTTTGTGCGGGCCGCTATGAAGCCAGGATGGTAAGAAAAAAAAATCGAAGAAGTGGAAGACTGGGAAACGTAAACCTAGGCAGATGAGGAGAAGAAAAAATTGGCTGAAGATGCAACGGCATATGAGGAGAAGAAAACTGAAGATGCGACGCAATCTATAGTAACGGGGAACAAAGATGTGACGAATCCCAATGTTCAGAAGGTCGATGAAAAGACGGAAACCTAAATTGAATTGAATGATAGTAATAGTAATAATCTGATCGTGGAGGTTGAACAGAAATTGGGGACTATATCAATGAAATCTGAGAATGAGAAGCATAATAGCAGGATTAAGACATATTAAAGTGGCTCCCAGAGGAATAATGGTGGCCGTAGTTTCAGGATTGGACCTTATGGTGACCGCAATTCTAATTTTGGACCTTATGGTGGCAGAATTCGTGCCTAGCAAGTTCAGAGGTGGAGGGTTGGTCAGAAAATTTGGGTTAGAAAGAGTGGGGTTTCTGATGGTAATGTTGATCAAAATGAGGTATCCCTTAAATGAATTGTTGTTCTAGTAGTGATAGCGGTGAGTCTTCAGAGTGATTGGTTTGTAAGGATGTCAGTCAGTTCTATGTAGCCTAGAATTTGTCCCACATTATAGCTTGCCTCGAGAAGTTCAAAATTCAATGCATAAACAGTCACTTCATTTCATTTATTTTCATTTTTGCGTATATTTCATTTGTATAATCCTCAAGATCTGAATGTTGGCTGAATCATTGGAAGGGTTGCCTTGTTCTATGAAGCTGCACGATTGTCTTCACTTTAATCCTTAGATTGGCTCTTTCCTTGGCATTCAACCACCTACAATGTTAGGTGTCAAAACAAGCTGTGATTTCTCCTAACCTGAGCTCTTCGCTATTTTTCCTTCATATTAGAGAACTTCTGCAACATTGAACTTTCCCTTTCCAAGTTGGATTTAATCGGGCATGGGGACCCAATAAATGAACATGACACTTTAATCCAGGCATCTAGAATCATGTTATCATTTTTATTAAAATTAAAGTATACTTTTAATCTTTTAACTTTTTAAAAAATTTTAATTTAATTATTTAATTTTATTTAATATCTTTTTCGTCATTTAATATTAATATCTTCAGTTTTAAATAATTAATTTTTATGTCAATTATTATTATTTTAAAAAATTTAAACTTAACATGTCAACATTTAAAAATGTGTTATCAATATTTAAAAGTTTAATGTAAAAAATTATTGAGATAAAATTAATAGTATTAAGATTAAAAAATTAAAAAAATATTTTATAAAGTTTAAAGATTAAAATAAAATATTATATAAAATTAAAGACTAAATATATACTTTAATTTTTTGATAATGTCTTAAATAATAACAGGGACGGAAACTGTCCACGTTGCTCAAAATTACCAATGGCCCTACTGTTTATAATTGAAAGACCAAAAAGTTTCAAGAGCAAAGCAACCCGTTGCCAATAATACATTCCTCGGTATTATTTGTCTCATAATTAAGTGGGTCTACTTGAATTGACATCAATACATGGATATATTGATTAATATGTCAAAACTAATAAATATATTGATTTTGACATATTGATTGATACTGATGTTAATTACAGCTAAACAATCCTGTGGCGGTCTTGTAACATCAAAATTCTGTAGGGAATGCAGGATCATTTGAATGTCCGAATTCAAGCATTTTGGGTATCGACATCCTGAGCAAGCATTGATTCATGAATCATAGAGAATCAGTGAATCGTGCCTACTGCTCTTCACTCCCACTATGACGCTTACCCTCTTCGAATTAGTATTCCGAATGAAAAGTGACATAACAATTTTGCATTGCTTATCTTTGATTGTGCAGAAAAACCCTAGCCTCCCGAGAACAAATACATAACAGCCATATTCTTAACTGTAGTTTACTTGTTTGCTTTACTCAAGGACTTGGGTTCATCCACAGACAAAAAATAAACAGTCATGTACTCTCTCCACCGAGACTTAATTCTTAGTAGAACCTTTAAGACAAGTTCAAGTTATTTCCCTTAGATATCTGATCCTCGTGAGCCAATAGCTATAAAAAAATGGCCTTAATCATCATTGTCTTTTCATAAAGAGCATCACTTATTCACGCCGCTCGGACTAAACCAACCAACAATCCAGCCAAAAGGTGATCGATTTCTGTTGAACAAATTCAGGATGAAGAGTTAAATCTGACCCAGCCCCACATAAACCTGAGCAAAACGACAATACAAGAACAAATGATCTGGACTCTCATCACATTCAGCACACGAAACACATTTTTCCCCCTTCTTGTTTGCCGATCTTTCTTTAAAACATATCCAGGGATAACCTAGTTTGTCAATATAACTTCCATAGGAATAACCATAATATGTGAGAGCTTTAATTTTCTAAAGGCTTTATAAGGAAAAATTCTGTAATATCTACAGAAATTTTGATTGTACTTTTGATCAACCATCAGTTACACAGCTTAAGAAGGTTTCGCCCAAATCATCTTTCCTTCTATGCCAAAATCCACATAACAAAATCGAAGTCATCTTGAATTTTTCACATGCTTAGACACGTTACGGCCGTATCAGGAGTACATCAGCTCCTAGCTCCTCAATTTGCTTTTTTGCAGATTATCAGGAGTATTTCTAGGTATCCACTTGAATATGCTTTGTGGACTAGTTTTTTATTCCCATTACCAACTGTCCGTGTCAAGCTGTCCAAGATTAAGTTGCTCTTTTTGACTTTTGTAAATTGTTGGAGCAATCTACATGCTTGAACTCATTTACTTTAGTTAATTAATTTAGTTCTGACTGAGGGCCAAAGCCAAATCGGTTGGTGCCCTTGACAACTCTTAGAGGGTTAAAAAATACACTTCAACTCAACCTTGTTAAGCATGAAAATTAGAGCATGAGACATGAAAGTGTGCAACAAATACCCAAAAAAAATGGTAAAAAAATTTCGGAAAAGGAAGGAGATGATGAAGGCTCGTCAGCAGATCAAAACGGCGGGATAGGGCAAGCACATGGCTCCTTATGCCTATTTTGTCTCGCTGACCTGTGACTCTCTCTCCGAGGGATTGTTCGGCCTGTAGCTTTATAATTATTATCACACGCCTATCATCCCCAAGACATGCTTACTCGTACCTGCTTTCGCCGCTTTCTTATTCAAGGCAGAACCCTCCCTCCTACTCTTTGTTCTCTTCCTCTTGGTTCTTTCACTACTTGGATCATACATGTTTTATTGAAAAAAAAAAAGGCCGGAAAATTCACAAGGCAGAGGATTAGATTAAAGAAAAGACTTATGAGGGCATAGTCATTAGTCTATAATTACCAGCACCATTTGCGTTAATATTATAATGTCCTTTGAATCATGTGTTTTATCAGGCTTGGTTGGCACTAACAGTACCATAAGTTTACCCTAGTTCGGTCGGCATTCATTCGTTTTACCGTTTACCATCCTCTTGTTGCTTCAGATAGACTTGAATTCTGGTCTCTTTGAGTGGAGTATTGAAGGCCAGACAGCCTTTATTAAGAATAGCAGTGCCTGTCAATTCACATTAGTACCAGTTTTCTACCGAATTTCGCTTTAATAACTGGGGACCATAGCTATATCTAAAATCCATGATCATCCATCAACACCACCTTTTTCGATCTCTTGGCAAGTTGTCACATTCCTCGAGAGAAATTGAAGCTCAAGATATGACGTTAATCTGTGCGATAGGACGAGATTGTTTGTCCTGGCTGTGAAAGAGAAAGAAAGTTGAAGGCAGAACAGGAGAGGGGAATCTCTTGCAGGACTTTGAATTTCCACAGTCGGTGGTTTTAGCACTGTTGCAATTGGCAATCTTTGACCCTGGCTTCATAAGGGGACCATATTATCAAAGCTGGTGCTACAGGAAAGAAAAAAGCCCATACTACTACTCTAGTGGATGCATCATGACTCAAAGGCTGTGTACAGTGCACACACTCATTTCTCTGTTTTTTCCCCCAATGGTCGTTTTATTCTTAATAGCAGAAACATAACATACATGCCATGGCTCACTCCCCATGAGGCTGCAAATTAATTGGCTTGTGCGTTGTTTGTTCTTATCTTCTGGTGTCAAGTAGAGAAGCGTCGAAAGGGGAGGATGAGATTTAAGTGGATTCTAACATATTAATTTCTCAGAAGTAGTTGCATATTAGAAATAATTGAGATTGATAACCTCAGTGCTTAACAGAGCAATATCACGAACCAACCAGCAAAGGGACATAATCTATTGAAAGGGAGGGACCAATTCGAGTGCATGAGACGAAAATAATATAGTGGCCCCATTATCTTAACATAAAGTCACATTTCATTGTCACTTCGCTCACAACGAAGGGGAGAAATAAATGGAATAGAGATTCACTGGCTTCTAGGCATGTGGTAGGGTCATTAAAAAACCTAATTGAACACAGAAAGATCAAACTGTTAATAATATTACCACGTTTCCCATCACAGCCGACGTGGGATTGGTTTTTACTGTTCATAATTTCCTCCCCAGCATTGCACAGTGTCAGATTCCTAGGCCAGCTTCATAAGGTCACATTATTTTCCAGTACAAAGGCGCAGATAGGAAGAGTAGAGCTATTTTACTGGGGCCTATATGCCTTGGAGGTACTATATGGATTTTCTACCTTTTGGGTGAGGTGAGTTTTTTGTCACTTAAACAGCAAATTGCAGATAGTGGGTATGTGTATCTGATGATTGTACTCCCCTCATGCATGTTCATCATGTATTTTCTGTACCATGTCCTCTCAGCCTGAGTGATTCATTTTCCTCATAAAATTCGACCATTGCATTGATGAATTCATATTTAGTACAGTAGCTAACTAAATGTTACTAGTGTTAGACACTGACGAGCCTGCAGGGATGAAGAGGACAAGAGTTGAACAGAGACTTACAGAGCGGTAAAGATCTAGGGGTAAAGAGAGGAGTATGTTGGTTGTTGCATACACAGAATATTTTTCACAGGGAAAAAGATAAGCGAAGATGCAGGAGAGGGAGCACCAAGTAGCATTTGTTGTGGACTCAGTTTGTGAAGGCATGACTTTTAATGTAAAGAAAAGGGCAATCATTAAAGTATCATTAGTTGTGACTTCAGCAAATCAGGTCGGATTAGCTTCCCCCCCCCCCCCTGATAGGACAGCACTATCGTTTTTATGGTAGCATGGTAATGCCATAATTGTTGAGGGAGTGAGTGATGAGTGATGATCTCTTTGGTCTTTCTCATCTCTCTCTCTCTCTATCTATCTATGCAAAATAGACAGTATAGTACGCAGACGCACACAAGGCCAACTGGCAACATTGATACATTCGCATAAAGATAAAATAAGAAGGCGAAAGGATTGAGCATAGGGACACACGGAGTTTAAAATTATAGTGCGAATCGTTTGCGCTCTCTCTCTCTCTCTCTGCCTCTTTTTTAGCATGTTGATGGGTTTTTCTTTTTATTTTTTTATTTACTTTCTTCTAGATTTTCTCTCCTCTACTTATACTGGGTGGAATATCATTATAAAGCACAGAAAAAAGAGAGAAGAAGGAGAGGAAAGCAGAGCAGCTCTGGCTCTGAGCTCTTTTGCATGATCGTCCATGGTTATTAGTGAGAACCTGAATAGAAATACTCATCTAGTTGAATGGATATATCAGCTTCACAATACAATAGTGCGAGTGAATCTGGTTGGACCCATTACTTGGACCAGTCCTTTGTTTCTGGAAATTACTTTCAGATGAGTGGTGGAGTTGTAGAGGATGAAGAAGATTTGTCCATGGTCTCTGATGCTTCTTCTGGGCCTCCACACTACCATGATGATGATGGTGATGGTGATGAGTGCTGCTATGAAAATTGGTATGCCTGTCATTCTTCCTCCCAACACTCCAAGAATTCCAAAGAGAAGATGAAGAAGAAGAAGGTGAAAGAATCTAGCAAGCATCAACAGGCTTCACACCTTGATGATGACACTGCTAGCTCCCCTGTTTTCGGCTGTTCCAAGGCAAGTCAATGGATTGATTTTCTTTAATCATTGGCATGACACGCTTTCAAAAATTTTCATTTGCAACAAATTAAGTGCTTGATGTGGCCTTTTACATTATGGAACAGAAGAAAGCCAATTACCCAGGGAATGGAATGCTGGAGAACGCAATGGAATTCTCTCAAAGTTTTTCTGCAACAAGAATAACGGTAGCACATGCAGTTCCATTATTGATTTCTTCATTTCACTTTGTGTTTCCCACCTGACCCACTTTCGGAGTTTATAATGTTGAGGAAAATATGTCGGCAGGTAAAGCCTAAATCCAGAAGCACTTCAGTTTCTTTGAGCGCTCTCTTGCTGGAAAACAAGCTTCAGGAGAATCAGGTGATTTCACTGGCATCTATATTGGTCTTCTCACAGCCTCAAGAAAATAAGCTTAGCAAGTGACTGTTTTGTTGGGTTTCATGTATCTTCTTTTTCAGGTGGATTCAGTGAAGAAAAAAGGAGATGAATGTTTCTTCTTCAGGAATTTTTCTCTGCTGCTGCGTTGCTGTCAAAAGACACTCTAGAGGACGTCAAAGGAGGAGCTTCTCAACGTCAAAAGGAACTCCTGTGTTACTCTTTTCCCCTGTTTCTACCCCAAAAAAATAATAAGAAAAATTAGTTTGGTGTAGTATAGTCTTTTCAATGGGCCATTGATGCTGCTAATGCGGTAAAAAGACAAAAGTGAGAATATAAAAACCAAATTGAGGGCTCTAACTTTTATTTTCAATTCCGCTGTTGTCATTGGTGGCAAGTTCATTGTTTTCGCTATTAGTTCAACCCATGATTCTCTAAAAGCCACAGCTGAATGGACAAAACATGGAAGATTCGAATAATATGAAGCTTTTCGAAATGTATTATTTTTGTGAGACGGGAACGTCACCACGAAGCATATGGCAGAAACCCAAAGGGCTGATGAGAAGAAGTGGCCCACTTTATTAAGTTCCAGCCTAGCTCAAAGTGCTTTGAGATGGTAAATATGGTAAGGGGAAGGGTTGGAGATAGTTAATGAGACCCACACAAAAGCTTCGTTTTCAGCCTAAAAGTGCAACCCCACCACCATCTGATAGCAATCCACACACAATTTGATCCATTCGTGACACTGCTTGAATTATTAGTTTTGTTTTTGGTTGCAACTGCATATCCAACTAGAATTGTTATTGCAAGTGTTTTCTATCACCAAAGAACTTGGATGATAAACGGACAGTGAATCCTTCTTTCTTGTTCATTTCACACTGTAGTTTTAGATTTACATATATTAGGTGTATGATAGCCCCATATCAAGTTATTAGAGAATTAATCATGACTATATAAATGTGTGATGAGTTCTTTCAGTAGAAACTATTATAGTGTAACCGACAAATCTTAATTTAATTTTAATGTCAAACTCTAATATGATATCAGAGCATGATCATTTAAGATTTAAAAAAGACAACAAAAAAATTGATTGATAATTTGATATTTTAAAAAAAATAGAAATGAAAGAAATAAAATAATAAGAGAAATATTAAATGTATGAAGGTCTCCTGTCAAGTTAATTTAAGCTATTTTGACGTAAGTAACAATTTTTAGTTTATCACGTGACTAAGAATGCCATGTTTTCTTTTATTAAAAAAAAGAAAAAGAAAAAAGGATGCTATGGTTTTTTAGGAGGTTGCATTCAGGGGTGAAATAAATCATACTGCGTACACTATACAGTAAAGTTCATGTGGGCTCCCAGGAATTTCAATTTCAGGCCACCGCGTTGTTGGGTAGTATATATAGAAGAGAAATGGTACACGACAGAGGGATGGAAAATGAGAGAAACTGGAGATGTGCTATTCCTTAGTTTTTTTTTTTTTTTTTGCTATATATGAGATAAAACAAGGAACATTATTTTTCTTTATTTAGCCTTTTTTTTAAAAAAATCCTCCTATATATTATTGAATACGGAGTCGTGCGTTGACAATTCGCAGTTTTTAAAATTTAACAATGAACACTTTCTAATATTCGAAAAATTTGAGTATGACATGTTAGTAAAAAGAAAACTTGTAAACTATTTGTATGTGATTAACTACTGAAATGTAGGTTAGTGACTTAGTATTAAAGTTGTGGAGATATATCTTAAATTTTAAACTATATACAAGTAATTTCTTGAAATATCAAATTTTAATAGTAAAATAAGAAACTACCAATATGAGATTAGTTGTACGAATTTAAAAATTTGGAGTTAATCACTAAATTCTACAGGAAAAAAATTAATCTGCATATGCTTTAAAGTTCAGAAAAAAATTCTTTGCAATTTAGTCTTAATTTATATGTATATATTTACTCAATTTTATATTTTTTGCTATTCATTTTAAAATAATTTTTCATTTTTATTTACTAAATTTATACAATTTTCAAATGCTACTCACCTGAGGAGTCTAAGATCTGAAGTAAAAAGCACCAATTAGAATAATTAAGATAATTGTATAAAAAAATAATAATTAAGATAATATTCACCTGAGGAGTCTAATATTTGAAACGGCAAGTACGAGGCTTGAGATTTGCTACATCAATTCAAAGTAACTTTTATAAAAAGGGTTAACATACCATTTATACATGAACTATAAATATAGAATGATTTAAACCTTAAATTATTATTTAGTACATTTTAAATAATTAAAATTAGTGTAATTTTATCCCATCATTAAATTAAAACAAATGTTGTTATTTTTTTTAATGAGGCCTAATATGTTATTTTTTTCAAAAAAGGGTAAAAGATAAGGAGAGTGAAATTTGATAAAAATTGCAAATTAGCCTCCATTTTTTGAAAAAATAACAGACATTTGCTTTAATTTAATGATAGGGGTAAAATTGCATCAATTTTAATTATTTAGGATTTAAAATGTATCAAATAATAGTTTAGGATTCACATTACCCTTGGATCTACAGTTCATGGTCCAAATTGCATATTAACCTTTATAAAAAAATTGGGTAAACATAACTTTTGGTCCCTATATTTTTTTTATTTTAGGTCCCTACACTTTTATTTTTTATTATTTTGGAATCCCTATACTTTGCTCATAAATGACCAAAAATGATGGAAAACAAAACTGTAGGGACCTAAAATATCAAAAAAATTATAAGAACAAAAAATAAAACATAGGTAAAGTATAAGGATCAAAAGTTATGTTTACCCAAAAAAATTCTATTAATTCAAAAAAAAATTCTACTATTTTTTTTTTGCCAACCAAAGTTTTTTTCCTATTATACCCTTATTTAGTATAACAATTCCAAAACATTTATTAAGCTTGAGGAGTAAATTGACAATGACTAGTATTTTTATACATTAGTTTCATTTCTTACTCTAGATAAAATCTTTAATGCTATGTTTGGATGCATAGATATTTGGATTTGAATCAAATTCATTGTTTGGGTAATTAAAAAAAATATGAATTTGAATTTGACCTAAATTCAAATCCAAATTCTACATCGATCTCTTTATAATTTCAAATACTTTAATGCTATGGTTGGCGTCGTGATTTGGTCTCAGTGAAAGTTGGCCATCCGATTTAGGTCGACGTCGGTGGTCTAGTCCTGATAGACGTCGACCGTCCGGTCTTGGTCGTTGCCTATGCACTAGTCTCATTGGCTCCGGTAGTCTAGTCCTTGTCATCGCCTGCACTCCGGTCCTGATCAATGTTGGTAGTTTGAACTCTTTGGAAGTCAGCCATTCAGCCCCAATCGTTGGCTGCATTCCAATCTAGTCGACATTGACAATCCTCTCCTAGTTAATGCAAGTAATTAGGTCCCGATAGCTGCTGACGATCCCATCTTCATAGAAGTTAGCCATTTAATCCCAATTGTTGCCAACGGTATAGCCTCAGTAAAAGTTTCCCATTCGATCTCGGTAAGCGTCAGCGGTCTAGTCCCAGTGAAAGTTAACCATCCAGACCAACGACTTTAACTAGGACCAGATTGCTGATATTGTACAAGTTGCTTTGAAATTCAAACATAAAATTTAAAATTTAAAATTTTACTTAATATCTAAACAAAGAATTTTCATGTTATAATTTAAATTTTTTTATATTATCCAAACAAAGAATTTGAAATCTATAAATTTTAAATGTGAGATATGAAATTTCAAATCCAAATCCCCAACTTTACCTATCCAAACGCAACTTAAAAGACATCTTGAAGCGAAAAGTACAAAACTAAAACTAGAAGGGAGCTAGGAAGGGACACCTCACACCATGCCATGGGTTCCCTTGCCTCTCTACTAGGCAAAAGAGTATACAAGCATACAACTAGGAGCTTTCGTACATCAGAATGGTCTGTTCTGCAACCCTACAAGCTGATATGGCTATAACTGATCTGCATTCTAAAGAGCATCATGAGGAGTGTCTCAGTTCAACATTCCAATTATCACAACTTCGTGGCAAGTTGAATATCATTTTCAAAAGGGTGATCACTGTCATGAGCAAAAATGCAAAAACAAAACACAAAAAAACTAGCCTATCAGATGAGCAAACTCCTCACACTTATAAATCTTACTCCACATTTGAAACTTACCCATGTAAGACTCATGACAATCACTTCCTATTACCCTGAATATTAGAGTGATTGGCCTCCAACGGATTTGAGCATAATTAGTAAGACTTTCTCAAAGCCTCTCTTTGAAAACTTGAAGCCTAGGATCTGATTCCCTCTCGAATCCCTTTGAAATTCCCTTGAGGTGGCGTGTGCCTTCTAACTCCTTCCTGCCCATAGCGTGTTAACACACACTCTGATGTCATTGTCAATGGAAACTTCTCTATTGTCAATTCAACACTTCATTCCATTCCTTTCAATTCTTTCTTATTCGTACACGTTAGAAGAAATATACTCCCAGTCTACCTTCATCTTTTCTATTTCTTTCATTTCTCTCCTACCAAACAAGCCATGGATGACATTATTTGACAACAATCATGTGACCATTTGGTTAGACAAAATAATCGATTATTTTACTGTTAAAATTGATTAACTAAAAATATATCCAAACACATAAAAATCATGTAATCGATTTTATTGTTAAAATCAATTTTTTTCAGAAGCTGGCAATTGGAACATTTGCAATAATCCATCAAAAAGCGTTGGAAAAAATTACAAACAAAGACCCAAAAAAATTATAAAAAAATCCCAAATTTTAATAAAAATAAAACCAATAATATATTTTACTTCTTAAATAAAATGTAACAACTTTAATACTATTAGATATAAATTTATTAATAATTTAATTTTAAAAAAGCAATGTCCTTTATGATAATTTAAACAGTTAAAATTAATTTTAAAAAAATTATTCAAACATCGTCAATTCTATTGAAATCAATTTTAGAAAAACATCCAAACAGATTGCATTCTAACATAATCAATTATAATTAAAATCTACCACTTAATCAATTATTTTCATAATCTATTATATCTAATTGAAATCCAAACGGACCCATGAATGACTTCAATTGCATAAGTTGAGTCTTTCATTCTATAACAATCGTTCATCAAGCCAGTAGAGAAGCTTATTCGGATTTAGTACTAGTGTTCCAACATTCAGGGTCTTCTCACGCCTCACATCTTCCAGCCGCGGAAATAGGAGGCTCAAGAATTTTTAATAAAAGGACAAGCTAAAAATTCACATGCACATTGAAGTGTCAAACGTCGTGGATTTAAAGAATTATGAACTACAGCTATTACTGATGGATCAAAATTAAATTATAAAGATACAAATACAATACATAATATAGGAACCCAGCAATGGAGAAAAAGATAAAAAGGGGGGGGGTGTAGAGAAACGAGACAAAGGGATTTTTATCCCTTCGTTGAATTCTCCCTCCAGCTGAGACCATTCCTATGACGGATGTTATGTCCCAAAAATATGTCTGTGGACTGGTGGGGCTTCTAAACTTCTAACCACTTCTAACCACGGCTTGTCTAGTAATAAGACGGAACTTTTCGAAAGGTGGGCTAAAAATAAAACAGGATCCCTGAATTCCAAAATTTCAAAATTCTTCCTATGCCTGTGTTTCCTCTTGAGATAATTTTGTAAATTTTTAGCCATTGAATCCTGAGCATTTAATAGATCACCATCATCTTGCTCCACCGGCAACCCAAAATCGATCAAACACATTGCCCTGAAGGTAGAATTAAGTTTCCAGCATCAGATACATGGAAGCCGAAAAATCTATAAACATACATTTGATTTTTCCATTATGTTCTAATTTCAAGTCA